AGTCTATTAAAATGTATACATATAGCTTGTTACTAACCTATAGGTACGAAGGATACATATGGGCTACGTTTAACAACACTAACAACCGGGAAAATATTTAGTTTTTATTCCGATGAAGAAATGAAACCATTTGAACGAGTTGTTTGTTGCGTGTCGTGTGTGTGTTTTGTGTCGCATCTCTGCTGCATCAACATTTACTTGGGCGGTGCTGCGTGCCACATGCTGCAGATTCATTCATTCAGCGGAATAAATACTAAATATTTCTCCAGTTGTTAGTGTAGCATGGATATCCGCAAAATAACGCCTGATTCTATTCTATATAATTACGTTTAACAACATTAAAATTATTTTACAACAGGTTTATAGTAATAGGTAGGTACCCATAATCCTTCTTAGAATTAGATTTGTCTGCACCATACCTGATAATAATATCGCTTTGACATGTAGGTACTACCAATTACTTAAGTATCTCTTAAGTAATTGGTAGTACAGTAGATACAATTGTTGTTCGTTATTTTTACTATTTAAGGTTTTTCTTTTGAAGTTGGTGTTTTATATTTAGTTTAGTTATTTGTTATTATTTAGTTATGCATTATTGGCGGCTCGTGAACGTGTCGCCAACTGATATAAACAATAATGAAAGAAATAATTTATTCGACACTAGGCAATCAGGTACGATGCACCAAAAATATTATAAGCATGCATAAAAGGTAACCCAACAAACAAAAAGCAGGAACGAAAATATAATAAGTGCAATAAAAAGTATAAATAACAGTAATTAATAGAGAAATATAAAAACACTAAAATAAAAAGTATAAAAATATAAGAATCAAAATAAGGCAACACGCCTATCCCAACAGGGTTTCCAGGTGCCAGTTCCTCGGTATACGCTGGGCACCAGGGCACAGTAAGTACCCAACACTGATTCTCAGTTGGCACGACTCCTGCTGCGACGCACGGACAGAAGCAACGGAAAATATGCTGAAAGAGAAATACAATATAAAATTCAGCATATTGTACTTAATAGACATTATCTTTTAAATACACTAGGAAAAGAAAACGAAGAAAGTTAAAAAATATGGTTTAACAAATTAAATAGTTTTCTTTTTTTTCAAATTTAAAAACCGACTTCATAAACCCAATAACTAATAAGCAAAACTATATATAAGCCAGCAATAAGCAAAAAATAACTAATTCAAAATCAAAACTAAAAAGCAAAAAATAACTATTATTAAGTAGATAGTACTGATAGGTTACTCACTCACTGATAGGTTGGAAGTTGGTGCCATAAGTATGTATACATAGGTACATTACTACCCGCCGAGTCGTACATCGTGCCGCTACCAATGTCAAAGCGATATTGGCGCAGCGTCGTGAACGAGTGTTTGTGTTAGCGGTCAATTATGAAAAGAAGGAAATAAAATAAAATAAAAGTTAACGGCGCGCGTGCATTTTTATAATTTAAGTACACATTTGCCATAAATCGCTAAGTTTGATAAACTTGTGTAGGTAACCTGATATAGCGACCGTGCAGGAAACTTACTGTATCAAAAAGAAAGTACATACCCAAAAAAATGTATTGGCTTCAGAGTTGCATATTGTTGTAAGTAGTCTTTATTGTTTGTTTACAGGGAACTAGTAAGCCTTTCAAGCAGGTCATCTTGGCAAACCTGGGAGATGCACAGGCCATGAGACAGCCACCTCTAACCTTTATTAGACAGGTGCTTACACAGAAATATTAAAAAAGTTACTACTGTTACTATGGGTGCTTACGCCTGTTATCTCGACGTATGCCTCTTGGGATGTGACTAACTAACACGTACCTATAATTTTCTCGGCTGACAACTCATTTCTACAACATTAGCCCCATAGAACATTAAAGAAGATTAGAACGGCCTTGGGGGCGGTGCGGTACACGCGCGCCGCGATTTTTAGCAAATTCTCCGAGTCTACCAAAATGTCAAAAACCGGCCATCAAACGCAATGTTGTTGTGACAGCCGTACGAAACTCCGCAAACAACTTATGCCGTCTTGGACTATTGTAATGTGTCGGGAAAGAAGCCAGGTGTGCAATGTAGCACGAGAAAGGATTTATTTCCACCAGTGACTACAAAAACATGTGATATTTGTAATTATAACATTAATATTATGACGTTTTTTTTAAAAAACGACATTATCGCAAGCAGTATAGAGGTATATTGCTTGCAATAGATGCGAACAATTTTGCACTACATAAACGATCGCGCAATGTATTACTTTCATTTAAAACATAATTTGGAACAATATGATCCATCAAACGTCGAAATCCTAAGCGGAGAACCTAACGGCTCGACGTGCAGGAGTAGGAACGGGGTGGTTTTAAGTCAGTAAGAGTCTGACACTCCCTCATGCCTCACCCAGGCAGGAGCAGTCATTCGATGATTTCCCCCCCTAAAAAAAACCCAAAAACATTAAATTATTTATTACCAATCTCAAGAGAAATACATGGAATTACAAGTCACCCTGTATAGTACATGACTGTAAGTTCTCGATCTACTTACCTGCATAATCGATGAACATTAATCCCTGTTTTTTAAAGTCGGTAATTAGCACAGTGTAAATCAGAATCAGCTCATATACACATTTATAATTAAAATTATCAAAAAATGTAACTATAAGTTACAACATCCCATCATGTCAGAATTTTTGCAGGTGCGTAGAAAACGAATACTTGAGATTTATATTTTGCAACTGATTTTGAGACCTTGAAAAAGAATACCGCCTCATTTGTAATTCATTCAGACTTAAGGTCGAAAAGTCGCGGTAGGTATCGCGGTTAATAGCCGTGGTATCCTCACCCAGGTAATATAACGCAGCTGTACAGTATACGGCCTAAGCAAAACATTGGTTAAATACGATACTTACAATTACAAGATTTACACTTTTAAACTTTAATTTTGTATCATTTAGGTGGTCGCCTGTGCGTCTTATCCCAAGCTCCTGGAGTCGGACTTGATGCCAGAGGACGTGAAGCAGAGAGCGAAAGACATAATCAAAAGCTGCGCGTGAGTTTCGTGACGCAGCTCACGACATCATACGCCGTGAAATCTTTATTTTCCCGAACTAAAATCTGTTGTATCTGTAACATACAATCGATTAAAAAAGATATAAGTCGACACATCGCGGGTAAATAATATCATTTTCACGGCGTATAGTAGAAACTGTACAGAAACAGGGTAGGAATAGTAGAGTAGTGTACCCACACATTTAAAAAGTCATTATTTTAAACCAACCGAAAAATGTATCACTAAATAGTTTTCTCCATAGGGTGTTACCACACCAATATCGATCGATCATCAAATGTCGATCTACGGTAGAATAGATTAGTCAGCAGTTTCTAACAGACAAATCGGTCGATTCGATTGTCTATCGATGCCATCAATTCGACGAATTTAGGAGTAACATCGAACTGGCCATCAACAACGCATTCTCTTTTTTTAAGGGGGGAAATTCATCCAACGAATTCTCCCACCTTGGGTAGACCAGACGGCGACGGAGCGTGTAACTAATCGGGCGGCGAGCTACCCCTGCTTGCCGTCCGCAAACCTGCATTTAGGTGACCAGATACCGTCACGTGATCCCCAATACCCGTAGTGTTTCCTGCTGCGGCTAGGGCGTGAGGAGGATTGTCGTCGGCACCACCTGCGCCCATACCGGGGCCCCGTAGAGGGTCATAGCCATCCCCGAATACAACCATCAGCAATAGGCATTTGGCCCCCTTAGGTTGGGTAGGAGCCGCTTAAGCGCAGCCCCCGTTAGTTCACAATGCGTCGTGAATACATTTCGAAAGAAACTAATGGAATATAGCCGAGGTTCAACGTCCGATCAACGTCGACTGACGCCATCGACCGGCTACCACACCAAACACCAAACCCGTGTGGTAGGTAATACCCTAAGACAATGGCATAGTATCTTTATACTATGACAATGGAGCATTCACTGAGCTTACAACAACGTCATGACGAGTCATTGTAGGGCAACGTAACGTGGAATGTTACCGCACGTCTCACGTGTAGATGACGTCGTTCGGCTTCATGACGAGGAGATGTCGACCAGTCCTTAACTCGTCGAGTACCGGTTTTATAGACACAATTAAAGAACAATAGGTCGCGGTCACCGGTGACCGCTTGGTGTTTGACAGTTTAAAGAGACCTGTGAAAGTAGAAAACTGTGTTAAAGAGAACTGTAGCACTTGAAAAATTGCCTAAAAACATAACTTTAAGATTGAATAGATCACTCAGATGTCAGATGTGATACATCATCATGTATGGCCCAAAAAATTTAACAAACTACCTGAGACAATAAAGACGATAAACTTAGACAATTTCAAAAAAGAACTACCTATTGAAATTTTTGATAAATAAGTGCTATTACTCAGTAAAGGCCTATTTGGACGACAATTCTATAATTACTGCCTCAGACAATAGCGCACAACCCCATTTGTTTCGATGTTTTTGAATTTTGGTTGACATTGGCTTATATAACATGGAACTTTAATCGTTTTTGAAATTTTATTGAATTAATTCGATTTTTTTGTAATGATATGTATATGCGTATTAATATCTGTTAATGTTATATTTAACGCTAAATAATATGACACGAAAATTAATCTCTCTAGACAATTTGTTAAATCTTGTTAATATTGACATTACTTATGACTTATTTGATGATCCTAATTTTATTTGACATTAGTATTGTATGACATGTTACTTAATCGGATTCAATTTATTTTACAATTACTTAAGTGTCAATTTTTGAATGATGACAATGTTAAATAATTTTAATATAATAATATTTGTACGCCTCTGGGCAAATCATGGAGAATCTACCTACCTGTAACACCTCACATACCTATGTTTACAAATAGAAATATTCTGATTCTGATCATATTACTTTCTTTTCATCTGCTTACTGCAGTATCGGTAAAATATTGTAGTGGCCAGTCAGTGGGCTCGTACACAATGTCGCACGGCATTGAGCTGATCCGGCGCCACGTGGCGGAGTACATCGAGCAACGCGATGGACACAAGGCCAACTGGCAGGACATCTGCCTCACTGCGGGTGCGTCCACCGGTATCAAACACGTCTTGGAACTATTCTGCAATGAAGTCGACTGCAAGCCAACCGGTCAGTACTAATACTTACAACTGTTTTGCTCCAGTGATTTTTTATGGTTGATATTGTGAATCTGGTAGGTATTATCATTATATTTGCGGAGCACTTTGTTGTGTATATTTTGCAGGCATCATGATACCGATCCCGCAATACCCATTATACTCGGCTACGCTCACGGAATTCGGGATAGGTGACATTCGGTACTACCTAGACGAGGACAACGGCTGGGCGCTCAACATCTCCGAGCTGGAGCGCGCCTTCCAGGAGGGAAGGAAGACACACGCCGTTCGCGCCATCGTAGTCATCAACCCTGGCAACCCCACAGGCCAGGTACACCCTACACCCATTCAGTCTTTATTAACCATCCATATGTGAGCACCATGTTAGACTATAACATTTTTTTTGTTTTGTTTTTTTTTATTTTAGTAAGTTTTGTAATTAGTACCAATATATCTGTGTTAGTACCTATAATGCGTCAAGCGTATCTTTGCATTGTTCTCACATATGCGTACAGTATTGTAATATGTATCAGAGACATTGTAGAACATACTTTTTGTATGTAAATTTTAAAGTTATAGTGACTAGGTCTTTTTTTTTTTTTTTTTTTTTTTAAGGGGGGAAAATCATCGAATGACTGCCCCCGCCTGGGTGAGGCGGGAGGGAGTGTCAGACTCTTACTGACTAAAAACCACCCCGTTCCTTCTCCTGCACGTCGAGCCGGAGCCCCGGTTACCCGTTAGGTTCTCCGCGACTCCGAATCGGCATCGGCCCTATTGGGCCCCATCTGTGGTGGTCTGATGGCTCTTTGAGGCGCGCGCGGAACGCGACGCGCCGTACGCTCGGGTCTGTTTCTGGTCGGACGGGGAGCCACCCATGCTCGCCGTCCGCAGGCCCGCGCTTACGGTGGCCGGAGATCGTCCCGCGATCCCCGACGCCCGGTGTGTCCTTCGCGATGGCTGGGTTGCGAGGAGGCAGCGCTTCGCTGCCTCACGCGTCCCGCCTCCTCCTTAGCTAGCATGACTGCTTCGCAAAAGGAGGAGACGGCATCCAAATCCCCCTCGCTCCGCATCATGGCCTGCACTAGGCCCGGGCGCGAGAGGTCGCCATCGCCGATCACTTCCCTGAGGACACGGCGGTGCTCAGCCCACGAAGGGCATTCTCCCACCGTGTGTTCCACCGTGTCCTCAGGGCGGCCCTCGCAGTGATGACACCCGGGCGTTTCCTCCCGCCCCATCAGACACAGGTACCTCCCGAAACTGCCATGTCCGGTGAGGACCTGCGTCAGGCGGTAGGTGAGGACGCCGTAGCGTCTCTCAAGCCACTCCTCAAAGAGGGGACTTACCGCTGCGATGGCAGCGAGCCCAATAGTGACTAGGTCTAGAGTCGATCTGATGATGGAGCCGAAGGACAGTCGAACTTCTCGAGGATTTAAGCAATGATCCCTAGTTTGTTCTTGAATTATTAGTATTGATGTCAAGTTTACACCTAGATGAGCAGCGATTGTTATAAAGGGCCTGATGATGAAGTAGTATGATAGCTACGGGAACTCTTTGTCGGCTAACAGTGGCTACCTTGTATTTGGGCTTAATTCATTTGTATTGATGCGAACTTAACACCTACATGGGGTATGGTTGTCATTAGGGGTCTGATGATGAAGTAGTATGATAGCTAAGGGAACTCGTCAACGTTTAACAGTAGCTATCTGGTGTTTGGGATTGAATTATTTGGTATTGATGTAATCGTTGTAATCCTCTTACTTTTAACTTTTTATCTAAAATATTTTTATTTTCGGTTTACCTTCATTGTCCTCATACAAGTATTATTTTCTTTAATAATTGCCAACACTTAGCTTCTGTTTCACATTAGGAAGTAAGCTATACACCAGCAACATGATGACACGCAGGGCTACCACAGTATAGTATCTAGAAGACAAACTGCGGCTGACTCTAAAGGAACTGGAGACCTCAAAACAGCTATGCAGCTAACTACTACAAGAACGAGAGCATAATGAAGTCGAAGTTAAGAACATAATCGATAAGAACACAAATCAAGAACGAACTGGCTGAATTACATGTCCAGTATATGGGCATACTCGACCAACACAACCAGCTGCAGTACACTGTCTCTACGTTCCAGGAGTGTAGTGAAGCACACCTAGCAGCCTTAAACAGAATTGCCGATGTCTGAACTGTGCGATGCCCATAGGATAATCTCTTGCTCGCAAACAAAGAAATTTGAAGAACAAAATACACACACTCATACATTGTTTGATGAGTTAGTAGGTAGTAGGTTACACTGTGAGGTACCAGAGTCAGTGAAAATTGATCTGACTGGTGATGACACTGTACACATATACCCTTCAAATCACACAATAAATTAAAAAAGTACATTCAAATTAATAAGATAATTAAACGAACTCAGAAATCACTTAAACTGTCAAACACCAAGCGGTCACCGGTGACCGCGACCTATTGTTCTTTAATTGTGTCTATAAAACCGTGAGAAAAGTGAACCCGAGTCTGAGAAAGGGTAAAATTAATTTAATTAGGGATGTTCAATCTTATACCAGTGAGCTACTGCTGACCGGTGTAGATTATTGTATGACTCAAACATATCGAGTCTTCATAATGATTTAATGACAAAGGAAGGTATGTTGAGGGAGATATTTGAGAAATACAAACATTCCCAACAACAGTTGAGTGAGCACCTGCTTGTGGCCTCTGAGCTGATGGATTTGGTGAAGAACAACGCAGAAAGCTATGAATCATTAACAAATAACCTAGAATGCAGTTGTGTGAATCGACCTCGGTTGCTACCTACTCAAGTTGCAATAAGTACCCAACCAATTGATACACAAAATTATAAAACACATGTCTACAGTGATGATTTAGGTTTTGGAGTTGGCCAAATGCTGTATGGTCATCTTAATCAAAGTTTTATAAACAACAGTTACCACAACATGAGTTATAACAAAATTATTAAACAAATAACTCATGCAGATTTAAAGGAAGCCGTACACGCTAGGTTTTGCATGATGGTTTTAGCCGTGCATGCATAACCGACAGGCAAGCCCTAGCGTGTATGTGATTAAATTAAACAGAATATTACTTAGGAATAATTTGTAGTACCTACACTTAATTGTACACGGCTTAAAATAAGGTACCTATAATTATTTATTATAATAATTTGGTTTAAAACTTGGATGGGTAATAAGATTTATCAGTACGTACCTATAACTAATAATAGTATTTTTTCCATTTTAGTTTTTACCTCTTATTTTTTTTGTTTTTGAAGTCGGTTTTTAAACGTAGTTTTTTATTTTCCTATTTTATATTATCAAGTTCAATGTTTTTCGTATTTCGTCAGGTTCTGAAACGTGGTAACATTGAGGAGATAATAAAGTTTGCACATGAAAAAAAGCTACTTATATTCGCGGACGAAGTGTATCAGGCCAACGTGTACGACAAGGACAGCAAGTTCTTTTCCTTCAAGAAGGTTGGTGTTACTCATTAGAACAGAGAACAGTACTGCAATAGCTCTTTATGGCATAACAACACGTGAACTCCTTCTCAATTTAGTCACAAAGTGTGCAGGCATCTCGGCCTCGCCAATAGCAAAAATGTAGTTGTAGTTACTAGATAATAGCAACGGGTATGTTTTAATATGCTTGAAATGTGCATGTGCAGGTGATGACGGAAATGGGTTCGCCGCACAACTGTGTGGAGCTGGCGTCGTTCATGTCGATCAGTAAAGGGTACACAGGCGAGTGCGGGCTGCGCGGCGGCTGGATGGAGCTGTGCAACATAGACCCGGCCGTACAGGAAAACCTATACAAGGCCATGTCTGCCATGCTCTGTCCCCCCACCATTGGGCAGATCGTCGTTGATTGTGTTGTATGTTGTGATGAAAATTATTAATTGGTAGTTAGAAAAAAAAACAATTTTTGATCCTCCTCCTATTGCGTCGTCGTTCGACCTCAATGCTGCGGGTCGTGTCCTCCTCGACAATAATTTTCCCGCAGACAATCGTCGTAGTCCTGTCTTCGGCAATGTGAATTAAAAATAAATAAATAATACCAAGTGCTTCCGAATAATAGAGGCCCAATGTTCGCAGTCCTCCTTTAACTCTTCTGGGTCGAGAGTGGATTGGCTGGTGCCGGTTGCTTAATATCAGGTGATGTCTGGTCCTTTGTTGACCTATACCAATAAAAACATTGATGTGTGATACCTAAGAAAAAGTTTAAATGTGATACATACCTAAAAAAAGACTGACTGACTCACTGACATAGTGATCTATCAACACACAGCCCAAACCACTGGACGGATCGGGTCGAGATTGGGCATTCTGGTAGATATTATGATGTAGGCATCCCTAAAGTAAGGATTATGACAAATTCAACTGGATGGAAGTTAGTATAAATCTTTTTAGATTTTTGTCTGATTGAACTGAAATTAACAATGGAGCTGCTATGTTGAAGACTTACGCTTAAATGGAGTTTCGATAAATTTAACTTCCATGGGGATAAAATAAGGGTTGATAAAGAATGTAGTATTAGTTTGAACCTATCAAAACCTAATGGAACGAATTTCAAATTAAGACACAAAAAGTTGTTCTGAACGTTGACAATAGATTTAGAACCTAAACCAGTCTTCTAAACCATTGAATCGATTTAAACGAGGTACAGACACAGTTTGAGACTCGAGACCTTTCTCGAGACTTTTATTACGGAAATCCAACGGGAAATATGTGTTAAAATCCCGGAACTTCTATCTTTTGAACCATTGAATCTATTTAAGTTAAACTTGGTAAAACGATGGTTTGAGACCTGAGAAACGATGTATGATGGTTTTTATCGCGGAAATCCCACGGGGGCAAGAACTATACGAAGCCTCCGGACTCTCTTTTAAACCACGAAACTTATTTTAAAAGAGATTCGGTACGTCAATAGTCGATAGAATAGTTTCTATTAGTAAAACTTTACGGAAACTGACACTTTACTGGTAAAACCCCGACGGTAGTATTTAATTTTTGAAATCACGATAATAAATTTATTTCACAATAAATGTAACTTAGGCACTGAATCGATTCTGATGGCATTTGTTACTGCCGTAGATAGAATATACCTTGAAAAAGACGATTCAAAAACCTAAATGACAATGACCTAATTTGTATGGAGCATGGTGCCTTTTCATTTTTTCGCGGCAGTTAATCGGATGTGGAAAAACTGATACAGAATAACATTACAAACAAAAAATATATGGGGTCTTATATCTATAACACAGTCCAAACCGAGTTAAATCAGTTAATCAGTCAAAATAGTGCTACATTATTCCTGTTGTTATGGTTTATAATTTTCATGATCAATTTCCTCTTAGTCGAAAACCCGCAAAATACTAAGCCTGGTCTGCTTACTGAGCCCTATCATGAAATGCTATTTTTGTCAGATGCGGCGTCGGTAGCGGATTAAGTAGCGGCAGTCGTCAAAACGCGAAAAAAACATTTTTCTGTCTACTTCTCTCGACTTACTCCCGATTAGTAACTAATCTAACTACAGTGAATACTTTAATCTACAGCTTTAATTTTTTTTAAGGGAGGAAATCATCGAATGACTGATCCCGCCTGGATGAGGCGGGAGGGAGTGTCAGACTCTTACTGACTAAAAACCACCCCGTTCCTTCTGCTGTACGTCGAGCCGGAGCCCCGGTTACCCGTTAGGTTCTCCGCGACCTAATCTACAGCTAGCATAAGATTCTGTACAAAGATATCGTCATTCAGTCACAAAGTGATGGATTATATTTAGCCTGATAACATTATATGAAAAAATTATGCGCTCATCTGACGTATAGTCTATCGCTTTACAAAGTCTCCCACCAGGAGTCAACGGTAAAAAAATATTACTTTATTAGATGTTTGGACGGCTATCACTACTCAACCCACCACTGGTACCACAGCGGACACTCATGAAGCTTCATGACACAACTCCTAGAAGCATCCCACAAGTTAGTCGACTGAGAGGAAATAGCTAATAAAAATTAGTGCCTTGCAATATGTACATATATTGTGGTGTGATTTTTTTTTTAAGGGGGGAAAATCATCGAATGACTGCTCCCGCCTGGGTGAGGCGGAAGGGAGTGTCAGACTCTTACTGACTAAAAACCACCCCGTTCCTTCTCCTGCACGTCGAGCCGGAGCCCCGGTTACCCGTTAGGTTCTCCGCGACTCCGAATCGGCATCGGCCCTATTGGGCCCCATCTGTGGTGGTCTGATGGCTCTGAGGCGCGCGTGGAACGCGACGCGCCGTACGCTCGGGTCTGTTTCTGGTCGGACGGGGAGCCACCCATGCTCGGCGTCCGCAGGCCCGCGCTTACGGTGGCCGGAGATCGTCCCGCGATCCCCGACGCCCGGTGTGTCCTTCGCGATGGCTGGGTTGCGAGGAGGCAGCGCTTCGCTGCCTCACGCGTCCCGCCTCCTCCTTAGCTAGCATGACTGCTTCGCAAAAGGAGGAGACGGCATCCCAGTCCCCCTCGCTCCGCATCATGGCCTGCACTAGGCCCGGACGCGAGAGGTCGCCATCGCCGATCACTTCCCTGAGGGCACGGCGGTGCTCAGCCCACGCAGGGCATTCTCCCACTGTGTGTTCCACCGTGTCCTTAGGGCGGTCCTCGCAGTGATGACACCCGGGCGTTTCCTCCCGCCCCATCAGACACAGGTACCTCCCGAAACTTCCATGTCCGGTGAGGACCTGCGTCAGGCGGTAGGTGAGGACGCCGTAGCGTCTCTCAAGCCACTCCTCAAAGAGGGGACTTACCGCTGCAATGGCAGCGAGCCCAATTGTGGTGTGATATGGTGTTACTGTGCCCGGCGTACAATGGTTTTGGCGCAATTTAAAGTTAGGAATTGTGACAAAAATATGAATAATTTGAATAAAAAAACCAAAGTAAAATGTTTGACTCCAGCTCCTTTTAACGTTCAGAATTCAGTCCAGACTGAGATTTCCATATATGAGCCCATAGACAATTTCGTTTGTAATGTCATTCTAGATCATATTTTCCATAAATCACCGACTGCCGCCAGAAAAAAGAAAGGCACCAATTTTAGTCAATGCCCTTTTGCCAAGTCATTGTTCTACGCGGTGTATAATTTGCTGAGGTTTTAACCAGGTGGACAAAGCCGCGGGCGGAAAGCTGGTGATAAATAAATTAACAAATACACTAGTTATTTAGGATGACATACCTAAGTAAAAATGTTAGCACAGTCTACTTAGGAAGACTGATTTTATGAACATGTAGGTAACTTTCACTTTGGATGTTGGCAGGCGAAAACTCCTGCCTGTGGCGAGCCATCCTACGAATTGTGGAACCAGGAAAAATGTGCCATTCTGGAGTCATTGAAAGAGCGATCCGTCATGATCGTGAAAGCCTTCAACAGCATGAAAGGTTTCAAGTGTAACATGGTGCAGGTGAGCGAATCAGCGAACATGATGGCTCTCGCAGGCTCGCAGGTTGCACGGTCAGTGTGCTTATAATATTAATGTATCAACAGGGTGCAATGTACGCTTTCCCGCGTATTGAGCTACCGGAGAAGGCGATAGCGGCAGCTAAGGCAGAAGGGAAAGCACCAGACGTGTTCTATGCGTTCAAACTCTTGGAGCAATCTGGTAAGTAATACCCAAAGTGCGAGACGGGGACTGCGAGGAATCAGATGCCCGCGTTTATTTATTTATCCATCAAGGGCAACAAGCAGCAGTATATTATATATAACACGTGAATGAATGAAATACACTGAAAGACTACAAGATTTAAGAAATACACTCCTCACGACGTTGTCACAGATTACCACAAATCTACGTAGCAATAAAAATGGGGCAAACTTAGCATACATTTAAATCACGGAATTACTTGGTTACATCGGTTGTTACACAGACTATGTACTTTTGTGCAGCGTGTGCAGTGTGACACAGTGTGCGTTACGTGTGACCGCGTGCTTGCAGGTATCTGCATAGTCCCGGGCTCCGGCTTCGGCCAGCGTCCTGGCACCTACCACTTCCGCACTACCATACTGCCGCAGAAGCCACTCCTCAAGGAGATGCTGGACATTTTCCAAAATTTCCATAAAAAGTTCGCCGAACAGTACGCGTAATGACCAGTCCTCATTCACTGTGTAATACATACGTGCTGGCTGGTTTGTAACAACTTTATCGAAAATGCCGCCGGCTTACTCATGTAGATAACTGAGATAAGCTCAAAAAGGGCTTGTAGGTAACTACTCGCACACAATAAATCAAGTGATGGATACCCAGCCTGGCACTAGAAACGAATGGCGAATATACCTAAGTATGTTTATATTTGTATACTGTGTAGCAGGCGACGGTGGACAGTATTCTCGGAGTTTATCAAATTTTAATTCATCAAATGTTTACTTGTAAGCTTTGTGCAGCCCATGTTAGTGACGGGGTTAAGTGCACTGTCTGCGAGGGCATTTTCATTTTCCCTGCTCTGGCGTTACCTCTGCGGAGGCTGTGCAGCCAGCACCTGAGCCTCCGCTAAATCCACGTCATCTACAGATTCAGGCACCGTTCTATTAGAGCTAAAGAGATTATCTAGCAAAAAGGAAGCATTGTCGGGATTAATGGAGGACTTGAAAGCCATAAAATCAGAACTGTCAGCGTTAAAATCTATCTATAAGAAATTAATTTTTTAAATATTAAAATATCCATTACGGACCTCAAAGCCTAGATGGAATTTGTACACAATTCTTGTTGAGCTCACAAGCAAGGTGTCGGGCTTAAAGGAAAAAACTAATGAAATGCGCCGCCGCCGCAAGTAGAAGAAAGTGTGAGCTGGTGTTTGCAGAGGGCGCGTTGAGCGCGCAAACTCGAGTATGTAGCCAGTAGCTGCGCGACAATCACCGCGTCGTATGTCGCGAATTGCTGCTCATGAATATGAGCCTCTAGTATGGCTTGAAACTAGTCGAGTTCTTCATCAAGCAGTTACGAGTTTTGAGTAAGTATCTTATTACAACAATCGACAAGCACCTCAACTGGAAAGGGCTTATTGCAGCACTGTGTGAGAAAATGAGTAGTTCCTCACATGCTCTTAATAGATAGATATATAACTGACAGTTGTGAGTCATACTGCAAAAATCATAAAATTGTAACACTCCCATGTACTATATATTTGTATATGAATGAAGCTATGAAGCTGTTATAAGCGTTCAGTTAAATTTATGTTTGTTTCTCCATATATATGACAGTATGAAACGTACTGTAACCAAACCGAAACTTTCACTGCAAAATCTGAAATTTAAAGATTTATTCAACGTTCTCATTGTTATTCAACGATATTCCCATTCATGTATTAAGATGGTGTTGAGTACAGGTGAAATGAAAGGCTGTTGGGTCGAAGAGGTAAACTGCTACGTGGAAAAAAGTATGTTCTGCCGAGACCCTCGAGTTAACAAAAGGGTTAAAATGTAAACCAAAGTAGTCTATAATTGGATTTAGAAATTAACTTTTGTAGTGCAATAAATATTCCTATTAATTTAAATGATTACTCGAAAGATCTGAAATCTTGGTTGACATGTATTCTATCATATTTTCACGTTTTATTATTTATATTGAGTTTTTGTATCTTTTACATGATTTTATTGTTTTATTCTTCTTGACACCTTTTTGTGTGACATTAAATTTAACACATTGTGACATTATTTTTTGTTTTGTTATCATACTTGATTAATACATTTTTAAATATTGAATTATATAGATTTATAATATATATATATAGGTGGCTAAAAATAGACGACATTCTGTGAGGTACGATAGCTGGGCTTAATATATTTAAATGTTCAGCATAACTGTACGGTTGTGTTTCAAAGTTATGCCACATTTCCGGAAATATCGAAAAATCACTGCTTTGACTCAAATCTTTTAGCTTATTTATTACATAACATAACATTACAGAACATCACGTCTTTTATCCCCGAAGGGGTAGGCAGAGGTGTACATTATGGCACTTAGTACCACTGTACATTGTAACACCCAATTTTCACTATGAGTGTTATGAGTCCCATGTAATAAATGGGGGGTGAGCGTATTGCCATATACCGGGCACAATTCCAGACTCCGTGCTACTACTGAGATTTTTTGAAATAACCCAGTAATACTTTGCCCGACCCGGGAATCGAACCCGAGACATGTACATGAAGTTATTTTCAAATAGGTAATTACTGTATTCATTGGCACGTCTGTTTTATATCAGAGTAATAGAGTTCTTAAGGAAAAATACAATCATGTGTCATTTTTTATAGACCAACTTCTTGACCGCTCAACTTTAGCTTACAGTAGCGAAAAGAAATGTGCCTGTGTGCCAGTTTTGTACAATAAGCGTAAACTACCTCGGTTCATGTTGATTCAGGAAAGGTTCAATAATAGTACATTCTTATTACAGAAATACGGAAACAGTTATTCTAGTCGCAAAGGGGCTAATTTTGTTGAATATTTAACTGAGCTAAGTTTATCAAATACTACTGCGAGACTAAGGGCCAATGTTTCAATCGTCAATTCGATCATCAGTCGTTGTCAAATATTAAAAAGTTACTCCTCAGTTATCATTTATCTGGCGAGTCAAGAAAAATCGGCTCGTAAGCTCTAAGGGACGGTGTGGGTACAGGGTGCATCAGGAAACTAATTGAAAGCGGTTGTATTTTCATTATTAATTTATTTTTTACACAATATTTTCATCAAGTAACCTCAGACGACTGTCTAGTAACTACAATAGTCCCGATATAAAAATATGTCCTCTCCTTAATCGTAACATTGTAATATTTATAATATTGACACCTCTATACTTTTTACAATTTATCAATTCGAGATTTTGTCATAATAACAATATGTCGTGATATATTCACAATTCATTACATATGGTATGGTACATATTTATAATGTCTCCAATAGATACAATATATATATTACATTACAATTTATTTGGCCTATGACATGTACATCACAATGATGGAACGCTTGTACCTATTTACAACGCTTGGAGTGCCGCGGTCCGGGGTTCGGTTCCGGGTAAACAAAGTGATGGCGGAAACACTTGAACATTAAAACAACAGAAACATTATTTGACACGTTTATGGCAAATCGTCAGAGTCCCACAAAATATATTTTTATGAATAATAGACAATTATAAAACACAACATAGTTATTTTACATACTTAGTCTTAAACCGAAATAAATAAATAATTCTCTAATATAGTGTATTGCTTATTGTCAAATCAATTTAAAAGCCTATTAATTGGCGCCCTGGGCCTTTGCCAACAACAATTCCTAGTTCCTTATTTATGTACTAATTTATTATTTATTACTAAGTCAACACAATTTATACAGACATTAGGAATATAATCATAGTTCGGGCCTGCAACCAAATACAGATCTAACTTACTGTGGAACTTTAGTCTTTCGTCTCGAACGTATCACGCTATGATATGGTTTATTTAGATTTAACACAATATATTTTAGTACAAAATATAGATAAGTAACAGACAACTTAAAGGAAAATACTGTCATAAGTACGACCAGAACTAGCTGGGATATCTTTATATAGAAGAAGTAAGCGGTAAAGTAACATGCATACATATATAGAATAATTCAATAAATTATAATTATTGGCTAAAACTAGAAGGACGGATAGAATTAGGGAAAGACAAAAATACTTAAAGAGAAGTGATGTCATCGCCGCTCGCAGCGGCTCCGACTGACTCGGCTCAGTACAGCCTATACGAAAACAAATATAAAACACTAACAAGTATTACATAATATCATTTACAGTTTTTATATTTTATCTTTAACTGAAAGAATTTTGCTAACATTTTTTGGGTAATATTTCGTGTTTTTTTTTCAATAAGCATAAGTCGGTAAAATGCAACCGCTCATACTACTGTCCCACCGATCCACTCACCGAGGCGAGGCTCGAGCACACCGACTCGTGCTCGATGTCGCCCAAAGTCTCGAGTTATTTCACTAAAGATCTGGACAGGTCGGAGTAGAGGCGGGCGGGGCGCAACAGTAGGGCGGGGGCGCGGCGCGGGCCGCGCGGGGCGCGCTAGCAGTGCGCGTCCTCCCGCACCAGCGCCGCCGTGTCGCGCCCCGTGTCCGCGGCCGGCTCCAGCGCGCGCGCCGCGCCCGCGCCCCCGCGCCGCCGCGCCGCCCGCGCCCCGCGTCTCCGTCGACGACGGTGATATCACTGCTGACACCACTTTGTCTTTCAACTCGTCCGGTACTTCGTAGATGCCAGCTGTGGAGGTATAGGAGATTTATGGAAGATTATCTATTTATTTTTTGCTTATAGCTAAACATTGATAGTCCGGAATATACACGAGTTTGCGTGAACCTATTCTGCCGGCAGGGACGCATGTGTTATATGATATAGATAGAATACCTATGTACAATCAGCTCAACTGACAAGCGATTCTCAATTATAGCTATAGTCAAGGGTAATGTCTGTCACCTATATGATTTTTTAGAGCTAAAATAAGTGACTGTGTGGGCGACAAGATGGATCATAGACTAGGATAGTTTTACTACAGCAGGTATGTCAGACTCAACACTCACGTATAGGCGGCTCGGGCTCGCCGGCGGCGACGGCGCGAGTGACGGCGTCATACATGGGGTTGCTGAAGTCTCGTCCCTTGCGCGGCGCCTCCTCCAGGGTGTAGGCGGGCTCGCCCCCCGCGCCCCCCGCGCCCCCGACGCCGCCGAACTCCACATTGGATCCTTGTCGGAACGACACGCTCTGCGACGACGCCAGGCTGCTCAGACCGCCACCCTTTCCGCTATACAAGAAATATTAATCTTTACTAAGCATTTGGCAATAATAGAAAATAATATTACATTTAAGTTGGTGTATGTAGTGGTTAAAATAATTATTTACGTCGATAAATGTTTTTTGAAAATAAACAATTAAATTTCTAATATTCGGATAAAGCACTTGACCAACATATACTTGGTCATATTTTTGAACTTCATAAGATTCAGTTTTTGTTCGTACGAAACGAACTAAGTTCAAGCGAACATAGAAAAAGGTCTGACTGCGACCTTGTATGTATAAGGGCACTCACAACGGTCTCTTCCTGATGACGAACCAGGCGGCGGCGCCGGCCAGCGCCAGCAGCAGCAGCAGCAGCACGGGCACGAGCACGGCGGCGGCGGTGGCCGCGCGCGCCGCGTGGCCGCCGCCGCCGCCGCGCACCGCGGGGGCTCCAGCGGCGCGCGGCACACGCAGCGCAGCGAGCCGTCCGCCTCCTCCGCGCACGTGCCGCCGTTCTCGCACGGGCACGCGCGGGGCAGCGGCCGCGGCGCCTCCACGGCTGCGGGCCACACGGACGTTACTCGGGGCGTATAGGGGGCAGGACTATTATCGTTGTAAACACTTTGAAATATCGACATACCTGCGTCGCACGCCAGCTCCTGTGTGAGCCTCTTCTGCGGCTGTTGTTGGTCGGGACAGACGCAGCGCCGGCCGGCGGGCACGCCCAGACACAGGTGCGAGCACGGCGCGCGCGCGCACTCGGAGCGCGCCGACACGTTGTAACGCCGAGGGTGGTACACTGTAACGAGAGCTGTCTCAGTCTCCGTCTGACGCGCTATCAGTCGACGTTGCCGCCGGACTGAACTGTCCATAGCTTACCTTTAACGGCCGATGGGTTGACTAGATCCTTGGATATAATGAATGGCACTCCTCTTCCGAATTTATCTTGTCTCACGAGTTCGCCAGTTTCTCTGGTAACCCAATAGAGTGATGACTCGAAGACGTCCAGAGACAGCGGGTGTTTCAGTAGATCACCCTTCAGAATAACTTTTCTATTTGAGCCGTCGTGTCTCATCATTTCAATAGTGTTTAGTTTGGTATCAGCCCAATAGATGGAATGATCCATCAAGTGGTCAATAGCTAAGCCGGTGGGATGTCTGATGTTTTCCGTTACAATTGGTCTCCTCTTCGAGCCGTCCATCCAGGCAATTTCAATCTTAGGAGCCGAGCCAGCGTCTGCCCAGAACATTCTTCCCATTTGTGGGTCGAGAACCAATGATGTTGGGCTTTCGATTCCGGCCGAGACAAGTGCTCTACGGTATCTTCCGTCAGTTCTAGCCACCATGACACGTCCTCGAGGTTTGGAACCAGTCCTGTCGGTTTCCGTCCAGTACAAGTTGTCGCCGACATAGTCAACCGCTAATGCAGTTGGTTTGGAATTGCCTTTCATGTTCAAGTCCTGTGCAAATCCACTCTTGACTTGTCCGTTAAGCGCGTTGATCATGTACGATCGTTTTATTGTTTTGTCGTAACTATCCGCCCAGAATACCATCTGGTGTTTAGGATCGTAATCAATAGCTTCAATTCTCTTCTCAGCAGTGATGACGTCGAACTCTTCGTTCTTATCTTGTGCAAATGCGTGTATTTCTGGCCCATTCGCGAATAACAGAACAACCTCGTCTTCTACAACCTTGCATACACCAGACAAGTTGTCTGCCAGTCTAAAAAAAAACATTTTTTAATGAGTGGATGTTCAAAAAAATTTAGTAACTAGATTTCAATATTGACAAGTTGATTACTTACTTGAATCCTTCTCTACAATCGCAGCTATAGCTTCCATTAAGATTGTTACAGATTTGTGAGCAGTGATGCGTGCCTGCAGCGCACTCGTCCACGTCGATACATTTTTTCTTGTCAGCAGGTGAGATGATCCAGCCTTGGAAGCAAGTGCAAATGTAGCCACCTGCTCCACCGATTTGCGTCAGATTGGTACAGAAGTGTTCACAACCACCTGTAAGATAGTAACATAAGAATTAACGTAAATGTTGGCTTTCTTTCTGATTTATAAGTCGATCAAATATTATTTTTGGGCCATCAAATAAAAAAATTATTATTTTTTTATTGTATGTAAATGGTATCGAGTTCTATCTTACCTTTATCAAGATGTGAACAGGTATGTGTGTGATGGCATCCGAGCTCATCGGAGGCGTCTCCGCAGTCATCTGCGAAGTCGCAAAGTTGCGTGCGCTCCACGCAATGTCTGTTGGCGCACTGGAACTGCGTGTAAGGGTCGCACGGCTTGACTCGCGCCGCGCACAATGTCATATTGTTCTCATCCGAGCCGTCACCACAGTTATCCACACCATCACATACTTGGTATCTGTGAAGTTTATGTTTTGGAATTATCAGTTCTCAGTTCAGTTCTTTTTCATTTAGTTTTGTATTTCACAAAACGATACACTTACCTAGGTACACATCTATGATTATCACAGTGGAATCGTCTTAAAGTATCGCAGTTGAAGTTAGTACATATAGAGGCGGCCTCGTCAGATCCATCCCCACAGTCATCGGTGCCATCACATAGATCTGACTGGGAAACGCATAGGTTATTGGCGCACTGGAATCTGAAAAATAGTTACGTTAGAAAAAATGGTCTATAGTTTATTTAATATAATAAAACAGAGTTATTCACAAATAAGTTCACTTTAACTTATAATTTATTAGCTTAATATGTAAAATTATGCATGTTTATATTAATTAATAAATAAGTAAAGCAAATAACTGTAGTACCTGCTCTCTGGACAATATCTGCCACCAGGGTAACGCGGGGGACATCCGATTTCATCAGACAAGTCTCTACAATCCCTGTCGCCATCACATCTAAAGTATGCCGCGATACAATGTCCAGATTTACACTGGAATGTTCCATTCTTACACTTGAAGCCACCGCAGTCAGCCTCGTCTGTATTATCTCCACAGTCATCTTCATGGTCACATCGCCACCTCGAAGAGATACATTTTCCGTTGCCGCACTTAAATTCTGATTCAGAACAGTCTCTGTACTTATGCTGACAGACGGTTTCAGATTCGTCACTTCCATCTCCACAGTCGTCAGTAAAGTCACAGAGCCATTGTTTTGGTATACAGCGTTTGTTGTCGCATGTGAAATCAGTTTCAGTGTTGCAGCTTGGACAGTTTTCGGGTAATTCATCTGATCCATCCCTACAATCATCTTTACCATCGCAGAATAACCATTTTGGAATACATCTATAATTCGCTTGTCCTGGACATCTTCTCCATCCAGTTGTACAATTCTTTTGTCTGCACATATAGGCTGGCTCATCCGAATCGTCTCCACAATCATTATCGAAGTCACACATCCATAGTTTGGGAATGCATCGTCCATTCTTGCATGCGAATTCCGTGTCAGTATTACAAGGTCTATTATGACATATGGCCGGGTCTTCATCGCTGTTGTCTTTGCAGTCTGTATCGCCATCACACTTCCAACTGTCAAGAATACATCTACCGCTGGACTTGCACTTGAATTCGAGGAGTGGACACTCGTGAGCACACTCAGCCTCGTCACTGCCATCTCCACAGTCATCGGTACCGTCACAGATAGTAGCAGCCGGAGTGCAGTTGGTGTTCTTACATTGGAATGAGCCAGCTCTACAGTGTCGTGTTGGACAAGTCTCAGGTTCGTCTGAACCGTCCATACAATCTTTCTCACCATCACACTTCCAGAACCACGGAATACACTTCTCGTCACGACCATTACACCTATGCTGACCATCAGTACAGTTAGCGATACAAGTCTTCATGTCTCGAGCTAAGTAGAATTGGTTTGGACAAGCACATTTATAGGTTGTAGCACCTTCCTCTCCGTAACCCTCGATGTTCAAATAGCTGGACGCATGTGGTGGAGCTAATAGACATAGATGCGAGCATCCTCCGTTGTTATCACCACAAGGGTTAGGATACGGCAACTGCCGCAATGGATGAACCACGTGAATATCATAAGGCCTATGAGTTGTGTTTCTTAAAATTGTCAAGTTTTCACCAGAATGCTTATTTGCTTTGCTGATTGCTTTGAGGTTCCAGTCAGTCCAGAAAATTTCATCATCGAAAAGGCTAAGAGCAAATACATGAGGCACTTTCGAACCAGATAATACGACATGCCTGTGTCGGCCTTCCAAATCTGCTGAACCGATGTAGTCCAAATGTGCATCAGCCCAGTATATTCTGTCAGTGAAATAATCTATGGTCAGGGCATTCGGCCATGCAATATCATCTTCCCAGTTAAGAATAGAAGTAAAATTGGAACCATCCATTCCTAATTTGCCAATGTACGCTTGCAAATGCCATGATGTGAAGTAAAGGTAACCCGTCCCAGGATGCACAACTATTGCTCGGGGATCGATAACACCAGTCTTTAAAGTTTTTCTTCTGGTACCATCCAGTTCAGACACATCCAAGTTTTTGGAATGTCTATCAAGCCAGTACAACTTTCTTCCAATCCAATCTATTGCTATACCTTCTAATCCATGAGAGTCATGTCTGATAACCACTTCTTTCGTGGGATTAGGATCAGTGTAATTCGATCTGTAGATAGTTTTAGCAGAAACGTCAGCGAAATACATTCTTTGTTCCTTGAAATCAAAATCGATAGCAACAACGTTCATCAAATCTTGATGCATAAGGTTGTACAGACTGGCATCAGTTGACATGTTCCTCACATAATACTTGTTCGTAAATATAATCCAAGCAGAAGTATTGTCCTTTCGTTTACAGGTGTGCTCATCGGGTTCTCTTTCGTAATATTGTTCGTTACATTTACAGTAATATGATCCAGGAGTGTTTGAGCAGTATTGTGAACAAACTCCTGGTGTTTCTATGCATTCGTCTATGTCGGCACACGCTTTGCCATCGGCCAACAACTTGTAGCCTTGATTACAGTCACAGTAATATCCGGTGAGTGTGTCAATACACTTATGGCCACACTGGTTGATCTCCAATTTAGCACATTCATCAATATTGCAATGAGGAGGTTCATCAGAGTCGTCGGTACAGTCTGATACTTTATTACAAACCAACCTGTTGTCAATACACTGATCATTGTTACATTTGAATTGTCCTGCAGGACATGTTTTATTTTCTTTAACGCAACCGACTTCGTCAGAATGGTCACCGCAGTCATCTTCACCGTCACATCTGAAATGATTTCTGATGCATTTGAAGTTCTGGCACTTGAACTCTTGGTCGGTACATTGTTTGTATTGAGTGTTACAACGTTTGCCTTCATCGGAGCCATCACCACAATCGTTGTCATGATCACACACCCAGCCTTCATTAATGCAGCGGCCATTATTACATTGGAATTGATCTTCAGAACAGGGCGTGGGTGTAGCGCAGTGATGAATAGTTGAGTTTTCATCGGCACCGTCAATGCAATCGGGATCGCCATCACATATCCATTTTTTCGGAATACATTGAGCACGTTGCCAGAATTTATTTTCTTCACACGTGTATTCTGTTTCAGCATCACATTTACGTTCATTGCATTGATGACGATCGTCTTCGTCACTGTTGTCCAGACAGTCGTTGTCACCATCACAAATGTAGATTCTGGGTATACAGTTACCGTTGTCACATGTAAAGAGGTCTCCAAAGCAGGTGCGACCTTCAGAGCGGCAATATTCTGGCGGTTCGTCGGCGCCGTCACCGCAGTCGTCGTCACCGTCGCAGTACCAAGTGGCAGGTATGCATCTATGGTTCGGACAACGGAAGCTGTTTTGCGGACATGTTCTTTGAGCGCAGTGTAGCGGATCTTCATCAGAATTGTCCCCACAGTCGTTATCTCCATCACAAAGCCAGTAAGGTTCAACACAAATGTTTGTCTTTTCACATTTGAGATGATTGGTCGGACAAGTCGTATTCATCGGGCAACGCTCATGTGTTTCATCTGATGTGATATTGTCTTTACAATCATTGATGCCGTTACAAACTTGAGACATTGGTATACAACGTGAATTCAAGCAAGTAAATTCTCCCTCGGCGCATGGAGGATATACGCAACCCTCTTCATCGGAACCATCTTTGCAATCGTTCTCGTGGTCACACTTCCATGACTGGAAGATACACCTGCCGTTGTTACAGCGGAATTCACTGGGCGAGCATGAATGGTAAGTACAGTAGTTTTTATCTTCATCTGAATTGTCACCGCAGTCATCATCACCATCACATGACCACATTTTGCTGATACATTTCCCATTAGCACAGAAGAATTTACTAGCATCACAGGTTATGTTCTTGGCCACACACATTCTTCCTTCGTTCACTAGTTTGGTGTTGTCGTCACACTTACATTCGACTGTATTGTTGGGTGCGGGGTGACAGCTGTGTGCACATCCGCCGTTACTGATCTTACACGGATTCACTTGACACTTTTGTCTGCTCGGACTGTATATATGAATATCACGAGGGGAATCTTCCAGTCGCTTCACCATCTCAATCATATTAGCGCCAGTGTGTTTCTCTGCTCTATATACCCCACGTAGCTGAAGATCAGTCCAGTAAATGTAGTTTCCAAAAACAGTTATCGCAAACGGATAGATAGTAGCGCTGATGAGAACTTCTCTATCAGAACCATCAAGTTTTGATCGCTCAATTTTTTCTCGGACAGCGTCCGTCCAGTATAACATATTCTCATCAAAGTCGATGGTCAAGCCGCTCGGTTGGGACAAGTCTTTATCAATGATAGCTTTTTTCAAAGATCCTGCCATGGTTGTTCTATAGATTTTGCCAGAAGTTCCGAATCTTCCCCAGTCAGTATAATATAGGGTTCCGTTGCAAGGATCAACAACAATGGCCCTTGGTCGTTCAACTCGAGCAATCATTACCAGTTCAGAACCATCTAAATTCATAGCATAAATGGAGTTGTTCGAGCTATCAGTCCAGTATACTTTTTTCTGTGTCCAGTCATAAGATATTCCTTCGGGATTGATGCCTTTACTGATGATATTTTGAATGGTAGAAGGATCTGGATTGTTTGCAGACATCCATCCTATTCTAGCCCATGGCCTGATTTGCGTGAAGAACAGTTTATTGTCAGTGTAATCAAATTCAACACCCACAACATTTGTCAGGTTTACTACGGGTTTGAATGGAACTCCAGTCGATTTTGGATCTAAATTAATGGCCCGAATTTCGGTTCTAGTAGTAAATACCAGGTATTCGTCGACAACATCACATTTCTTGGGATTGGAAGCAGATATTTGCCCAGTGGCACAGTCACATCTATGTGTGTAGCCTTTGTTAGCTTCCGGTGGATAACTGAAACACAGTTGGTCACATCCTCCATTACCCAGCTTTCGACAAGGGTTATTTTCATCCGTAGGCTGATTGTTTACATCAAATATAACAATATCTCTTAGTTTTGGGAGATTAATTCTCACTTTCTCAGGCATAGACATGTTTCCAGGCAACTTCGAAGCTTTGTAGATAGTTTGTAAGTTTCTATCCACCCAATACACGCTCCCAGTGTGTATGGCGACACCCATTGGGTTAGGTAAGTTCGATCTTATTAGTTGTCTGTTTCCACCGTTATATGAAATCTTTTGAATTTGATCAAGTTTGGAATCAACCCAGTAAACGTCGTGCGTCAACATGTCGATGGTCAAGTCTCTCGGATTAGATATTCCGGAGCTGACGACAGTCTGCCAATTACTGCCGTCTAAGTAAGCCTTACCGATTCTTGGGTATTGGCCGTAATCTATCCAATACAGCAATCTCTTTAGAGGATTGACGGCAAGTTCTCTTGGAGCATCCATTGTGGTTTTTACTAATACTTTTCTGTTTGATCCATCTAGCCAACACATTTCTACATAATTTTCATGAGGAAAGACGTTAGTGAAGTAAAGATTTCCAGCCACCCAGTCCACAGCCAAACCTCTGATACCATTGCTACCGATACCATCTTTGACAATATGTTGCAGTTCCGTGCCATTTGGTCTAATGCGGAATACGCCGTTCCATTGTCCACGATTGAACTCGACCCAGTAAATGTAGTTCTCGGCAAAATGGACGTCTACATGGAGTATATGATGGCCCACACCAGTGACTGGGACCATAGCTTCAGCGCTAGAATCGATACTGTATCCGCGGATTAGGTCTAGTTGGGACACTACTGCAAACGTTTTGTACGGTACACAGTTGATTTCGTTCTCTTTTCTGTAGCCAACTGAGCACGCACAGATGCGGGACCCACCGTCACCAGGAATACAGATTTGCTCACAACCTCCATTGCTTTGAGAACAAGGATGGTGTACCATTTTCCTCTTTTGGAATATAGTGAATGATTTCAAGTCACTTTCATTGTCTAATACAGTTTTGATATTGTCACCGTTGGGTAGGTCTGCTTTAATAATTTTTTCGTGTAGTGGGTCTAGGACGTACAACCTTGAGTCAAGTACGGCGATAACTTTAGGATAAGAAATAGCATTAGTCTCAGTTAAGATTGTTTTCCTATCATTGCCTTCGGTGTTGACACTGTTGATGCTGGCCGGGAACTGGGTACTGAAATAGATGATCTTCTTTTCTACATCGATGGTGACTGCTTCTGGCCTTTCTATTGTGTCAACCAGGATAATAGGATTAGAGCCGTCCATGTTAGCTTTACCAATTTTTGCTGGCACTCCGAAACCACCCTCGTCAGACCAGTACATTTTTCTGAAAAGAAAAAAGAAAACTCATCATATTTTATAGTTACCATTATAATGTATTTTTACACAATTTCGTCGTTTTAAACTATTGTCGAGCAAAGAGATAGACTGAAATGAACAGTTATTAAAATATTTAAAATGATCTGTTCTACGTGCCCATGCGAGATTGTGTTCATTAGAGCACAAAATCCTATTATACATTTTATACATTTATTTGTTATTAAACAAATCACCCTGTATACATACAAAGTCGTTCATATAAGTATCATCTAATAGATTATATTTTAACTTACCCTTCGGTAGGATCCAAGCAAATTCCTCTCGGTTTAGCTACAGAACCTCTGCTACCGTCATTAGCCATCACGATAGACCTGTACTTCACTTTGCCGTCAACCCTCACCAACTCAATATTACTGGCTACTCTGTTTGCCATGTACAAATTTCTTCCAAGCCAATCGAACGCTATGGACGAAGGTGCTCCAACAATACCAGTGTCTGACCCAAAGAACTCAGCTTTATTACCACCGCCGTAAGGCATACTGTAAATTGTACAGTTCTCATCGTCGTCACTGTCACCTGATATGGATTGCAGCCAGTATAACATGTGACCTTGCCGGTCGTAATCTAGTTGGACCCCACCTGAGAAATACATACGGATTTAGACATCCAGGCAAAAAGCAAGAAATAAGGGTGTTCATTATTTTAAGATTAGTTACCTTGAATGCCTACGATAGGAGCAAGTTGTCCAGCTCGGCCAGATCCATCAGTTGATAAATCTATTACTTGTGTTCCCTTAAGCACCATAAGATAAGCAGTTTCCTCTGAAATAAAAATTAGCACTTTACAAACAATCCTTTTATACGAAGAAACGAACTAGGTACTTATTAATAAACGGTTTAACATTACCTTCCACACATTTGCCATCCGGCAACAGTTTGAATCCAGGCTTGCACATGCACGTGTAACCTATTGTCTTATTAGGGCTGAGTAGACAAAGATGCTGGCACGAGTCTTTCTTGCAGGGAGACGTGTACAATGGCTGCAGCGAGGGGTGGTGCACGTGGATGGACAGAGGCTGAGAGATTAAGTGAGATACTACTGTTTGATTGGATCCTTTGAACTTGTGTGCTGACAATACTCTGTTCAATTGTCGGTCTGTCCAATATAGAGTATCCTCGAACAAAGTTAAGGAATGAGGATGCAAGAGATAATGACTACCGGCTAACACCTGTTGTCTTCCTGTGCCATTATAGTAACAAAAGTCGATAAAATCTAACTTCGAATCAGCGAAATACACCCTTTGTGTGGCGGTGTCTAAAGTTAAGCCGTTCGGCCAGTAGATCTTGGTGGTGATGATAGCTGATCGTTGTGTACCGTCCATACCCACTCTTTCGATACGAGGGTTCTCTCCCCAGTCCGTCCAGAACAGCCACCTGGCATTGGGAGCTGGGTCCAAACACATTCCCCTTGGTTGTGTAATGTTACCGCTCAATAAAGCTGTTCTAGCACTGCCGTCTTCTTTGGCTACTTCGATAGTATTAAGTTTGCTGTCTAACCAATAAATGTTTCCTCCCACCCAGTCGTACGCCAGCCCTTCAACGAGGTCTAGACCAGTAGATATGATGACTTGCGGCTCGCTGCCGCGGTCCAAGCGGGAGATCTTTTTTAGTTTCATGTCGGACCAAAATATAGTTCCCGTGTGCATGTTTGAGGCTGTAGCGACTACATTTTCTACGTTTATTGGGACCCTTTCGAGGCCTTGTTCGTTGAGGTCAGCTACTAAGATGGAATGTCTATTAGATATGATGAGGAAGGCGCTGGAGTGGTTATTTGCCTTACATGTGTGATTATTAATGGTGAGGATGTAGCCGTCGACACAGGAGCACACGTACGAGCCCTTAGTATTAGTGCAGGTCTGTGAACAGAGACCCGGCGGATTACATTCGTCGATATCTTTGCAGTTGGAGCCATCCACATCCAACTCTTCACCGGGAGGACACAGACACAGCGGTCCGTTTGGTGTTTGTTTGCAACCGTTAGAGCATAGCCCGTCTTGGTGTTCACATTCAGCGAAATCACAGCTGGCACCTATAGAAATAAAATAACATATATACTTAGGTATTTTTTTGATCAAAAACTGAACTCATTTATGATTCAAATGTAACATTTAATATTACCTTCATCTGCGCCATTGGGACAGTCAAATTTACTGTCACAAACTTGAGTGATGTTGACACATCTGCCTGTGACCCCGGGACATTGCCATTGATGAGAAGGACACCTATAATACATAATTACAGTCAGAATGTTTGTTTTGAGAACATTCGGTGTATATATAGAGTGAGTAAGAAGACGAGTATACCTGAAGGCGGGCGGCTTGCAGGCGTGCTCGAGCCCCTCGTCGGAGCCGTCCCCGCAGTCGTCGTGTCCGTCGCAGACGTAGGCCTTGAAGACGCAGCGGCCGTTGTGGCAGCGGTAGTAGTTGGCGGCGCACGCCACCGAGCCGCACGACGCCGGCTCGTCCGACAGGTCCTCGCAGTCCGGCGTGCCTGCGCACGCACTGTTAGTTCTCTACTACACGGACGGCTTGGCATTCAATTAGGATTGATGATTAGTCTTACCGTCGCAGTACCACGTGGTAGGGATGCAGATGCCGGAGGACCTGCACTGGAACTGTTTGTCGGGCTGACACTGGTGCGGCGCCAGAGACGGGCAGCCCGCTTCATCACTACCGTCGTTGCAGTCTGGGATGCCATCACATTTGTACGCCTCCTGAGGATATCAGAAAATAATATAAATAGGTATTGTTAATCGAAGTCATTTAAACTGACACAATAGTACCTTAAGCTTAATTTTAATATCCTAGAAACATTTTGATATATAAAATCATAGAGTGAACCTAAAACCTAAAATCCCAATTAATATGAATGCTACAGTACATTTGTTTGTAACCTTTTTACGTATTATCTACGGAGAAGAACATAAGCTGCTTCATACGGGTAAAGCAGCGGATAAAAAATATGTTACAAAGTAGAGTTATTGCTCAGCAAATGTTTTAACATACCTGCACACACTGCTTGAGATCTGCGCATTTAAACTGGTTGGCGAGGCAGGATACTGGTGGACAGTCAGCCTCGTCTTGCTTGTCGAAGCAGTCGTCGTCTCCATCACACACCCAAGACGCAGGAATGCAGTGCCCAGTCCGAGGACAAGTAAACTGAAGAAGGTTTGCGAATAAAACATTTTAAAGCAATTCTCTTATAAACAAAAAAACCGACTTCAACCCTCTTTCTTTGCAGTCGGTTAAATAATATACTAACACCTTTTCTTAAATATAACAAACACTTTTCTGAAAACCGCATCAAAATCAGGTTCAGCCAATCGCGAACAGTCACGCACAAACATACATGCATATGTACATACACACATACACGTCAAACTATCCTAATTGTGTACAATATTAAAAAAATCACATCATAGACGCGACGATAGCTCTTGTCAATGTGATTAAATAAAAATGCGAGTGGACTGTATATAAAATGTAATAAATTGAATAAGAACGGAATAACAAGATGTAGATATGGAATATGGCAACAAATAAAAAAAAATGCGTAAACGCAGCCGTGCGTCTAGGGGTGCAACCGCTGACTGACGCGACGCGGGCCGCGGGGCGCGGGGCGCGGGCCGCGGGCTCGGCTGTAGGCCGGCCGGCCAGCCGCAGGCCCCGCGTCCCTCGCTCACTGCCGCTGGCGCGCGGGCGCACCCGGCGATGTTGAGACAGGTGCCTCAACACATCAACATAAAAAAACTGATTTGATAGCCTACAGTAGATAGACTGGTTTTTTTTTGGAAGTCGTTTAAATATAGTAGAATACTTTTTACGTGATAATTTTCTAATGCAAATGGAATATGGTGGTCTAACCTGGAAGTAGGCGCAAGTTTTCTCAGCACAATGTGAGCCCTCGTCGGAGCCATCCCCGCAGTCGTTCTCAGAGTCGCACTTCCAGGTGTTGGGCACGCAGCGCCCGTTGTCGCACTGGAACTGAGACGACGAGCACGTCACGTTCACGCAGCCGGTCTCGTCGGAGAAGTCGCCGCAGTCGTTCTCAGAGTCACATTTGAAAGTGGCAGGAATGCAGCGACCAGACTTGCACATAAATTCTGAGGCACTGCACGTTGTTTCTAAAAGAGATGTTAGTTATAGTGAGGCTAAATAAGTCATACTAATTTAATATTTCAGGACTTCGACGTGTATCTACTCACTGGTGCAATTCTGTTCTTCGTCACTATTGTCCAAGCAATCGTCATCTCCATCGCACACCCAACTTTTAGGAATACACCGCTGGTTGTTACAGGTGAAGTCCCAGGAGTGTGGGCAGGCCTGTACGGGCGGCTCGGAGTTGGGGTCGGCGATACAGCTGGTGCCGTCAGGTGCGAGCTTCTCTCCATAAGGACATCCGCATTTGACGGTTAAAAGTTCCGTATTGTTCCTAGGCACAGCAAAGCAGAGTTTTTGGCAGTTGCCATTGTTCCTAGAGCAAGGTTGCATGGGGTCTATCCTCTGAATCTCTTCGCTGTACACTTTCACTCCGTAAAGCCTGTTCGTTTGTGGCTCCCGCACCATGATATCTTCTTGTTCACCAGTCAACTTGTGTAACCTTACGATGGCATCCAATCTCCAATCAGTGATGTACATGAACTCTTTGTGGATGACGATGGAGAACGGATGTCTGATGAGTCTTGAATTGACAGTCTTGACGTCTGTTCCATCGAGTTTAGAGTGTTGGACGTGGTCCAGTAAGGCATCACACCAGTATAAACGATCCGCATCGAAGTCTATAGACAAACCGTTCGGCCAGCCAAGAGTGACATTCTCGAATACTAACAAGTTGCTTCCATCTGTGTATGCTCTGCTGATATTGGCAGGTCTATCCCATTCCGAGAAGAAGATGAATCCCTTGTTAGGGTGTACTACTATGGCACGCGGTCTTTTTAAATCTTTCAGTAAGGTTCTTTTGTAAGCTACATTTCTTGTCGACAAAACGTTTAACGTTCCTTTCCGAGAATCGATGTAGTAAAGGTTTTTAGAAGCCCAGTCCACAGCCAATCCTTCTACTCCTTCATTTTGTGATGCTAAAACAATTTCTTTCGTTGTTCCATTTCTATGCACTCTGTATATGACATCTTGTAAAACATCAGAGTAGTAAATATGTTCATCTCGAGCATCGAAGTCCAGTCCTACAAATCTTGCCCTCTTGGATACAACTGGGAGTATAGCGTCACTAAAACCTTCTATAACTGGGTTTAAGACTTTTCCTTTGATAAACCGCTGCTGGGAATACATAAGGAATTCCTTAACGAGATCACAGTTCCTTAGATCGGTCTCGAGCCTGTAGCCGATGTTGCAGGCGCAGCGGTAGCCGAGCCCGCCGTTCTGCAGCGCAGTGACGATACACATCTGGGAACAGCCTCCGTTGTTGGTGCCGCACGGATTGTTCACTGAGGTTTGCTTCAGCGAGTGTATCACTGTGATCGCCTTCGGTTCTCTGATGTCCTTCATTTTGTAGATAGCCTGTATGCTAGATGGTCCTTCATATTTGTTTACAGAGCTGATTCCTTGTTTCGTGTTGTCCGACCAATAGACTCGGTCTTCGATCAGTGCCAGTCTGGAGGGACTAGGCACCTGCTGGCCCCTAAGGACCAGGAATCGATGGTTTCCTTCATAATCTACAGTCTCTATGTAGTCCAGGAGGGAGTCACACCAGAACACTCTTCGCGCGATGATATCAACAGCTATACCAGACGCCTTGTAGGCTGCCTCCGAGACTATTGCCTTTGAGTGCGTTCCGTCCATATTCGCCCTGATAATCTGCAATGTGCAAGAAGAAAATAAGTTCGTGACAAGGGATAAAGTAGTCGTTAGAAAGAAAGAAAAAAAAACACTAATTCAGCACCAGGCACGATGCAGCATAAATAAAATAAAAAAACAATAAAAGATACAATGTGGAAGTGAAAATAAAATATTCAAGGTTCATGTGGTTACTTATGAAAGAATTTAGATTACTGACATACTGACATTTAATTTATAATTTTACACTCTTTACCTGACTACTATCAGCGACGAACATGAGTCCCAGGGTAGGGTCCAGTGCAAGGTCAGCCGGGTTGGTGAGGTTGGAGCCCAGCACCACGGCGTGCCAACGTCCGTCCAGCTCAAACACATCGATCTTCTGTCCGATGGCGTCCGCCACGTACAACTTGTCGCCCACCCAGTCCACGGCCAGCGCCACCGGAGCCCACGAGCCCGCCACCGTGATGTCGGTGCCCGTGTAGCTGGATACACCGGCGGGCACGCTCAGCTGCTGCGAGTGGATCTGAAATGTGGTGTTGAGTTTGGTGTTTGAATACAGTTCTCAAGATCTTTTATATGTACAGATTAACCGCAATAAGCAAAAGTCCACGCTGCTATTGCATAGTAAAAGGGCTGTGATTTACCTTCCTAGTCTTAAGATCGGACCAGAACAGCAGATTCTTTCGATAGTGGTAGTCGAGTCCAGCCGCGGCCGTGGCGTTGGCGACGGTGACGGGCGCGCGGCCGTGCAGGTCCATGCGCAGCACGGCGCCCGCGTGCGCCAGCAGCAGCGACGGCGCGGACGACGCCACCGCCGAGCACCGCCCGCTCTCCACCAGCGTGTAGCCTGGCGCGCACGCGCACTTGTATGCTGGAACACGCCACATAGTATGCTTTAAATAAGTGCCAAGTCGACCGCAACCGACCAGTGATCAGTGTATACTCACATCCCGGCGTGTTGATGCACAGTTGGTGGCAGTATCCCCACTCCTTGCACTCGTCCCGGTCCACGCAGGTGCGGTTGTCTGCAGCTAGTGTGAGGCCGGCGGCGCAGGCGCACGCTCCGCCCGCGGGGGACGCCACGCATTTGTACTCGCACTCAAGCGCCGGACAGGATGACGTAGCTATGGGGCACGTCTTGTATTCAGACACAAATAACTCGGAAAACTTATTGTTTTTGCTTATTAATAATAATATGAACATAAAAAACGTACATGAATTATAATTTTAAGAATCCTTGGAGTTTCCTATACTGCTCGGTACCAACACCTTTTACCACCATTACAAAGCGCAGACCTTTCTGTACCAGTTGGATAGCAATAAAGAACATACATTTATAATATCAGTCTTATAACACGATCGTGTAGACGACGCGGCACGTTTTAACTTACATTCATTCGTACTCTGAGGTGTCAAGGGGCGCATAAAGATGTAATTGGGTTTGTAATTTACATTCCTGCTGTAGGTGTCGCAGTTATTTCTTAAGATAGATGCACAGTACCATGGCTGATGGGTGCTTACCTATTGGTACTAACTTCAACAGCTTGGCTTCTCTTCAAGGGACTATGGATAATGGTCGTGTGGCGAGAGATAAAATACTCACAGCAAGCAGTTTCCTCATCAGCATTATCTTCGCAGTCCTTCTTGCCGTCGCAGAGCTGTGACCTAGCGATGCACTTGTGCGCGCCCCCCGGCCCGCCCTTAGGGCACAGGTACTTGTTGTCGGGGCAGGCAATAGCGGTGCAGTTCGCCTCGTCGGAGCCGTCCGAGCAGTCCTTGTATCCGTCGCAGTGGTACGTTGCGGGAATGCACAGCGCGTTGCTGCAGCGGAACTGCCCGATGTGGCACGGTGGGAAGCCTATCAGACAACGGAACAATAAGCAATCAAAGTGAAAGTATGAAATAGTATTTAGCATTGGTCAAGTTAATTAAAATAGACAAGAGTAACGAATTATCTGATTGCTCGGTATAAATGTTCTGGTGGTACTGACTGCAGTGTGCTTCGTCCGAGTTGTCTCCGCAGTCGTCCTTGTGGTCGCACTTGACGGCCGCGTCCACGCACTTATTGCCCGCCGCGCACCGGAACTGGTCCAACCTGCAGGCGAGCTGCTGGCCCGGGCAGTCCTGCTCGTCGCGACCTGTTCTGCAGTCTAAGTACCTGCCACAACAAACACAGTTTTACATTGGATAGAGGTTCTAGCATTCGGAGAAGTATCTTAAAATATACTACTTATAGTTAAGAAAAATGTATATATATAAAATAATTAAGTGAATATAATAAACGCTCACCCGTCACATTTCTTTTCCTTGGGTATGCAGGGTCCTTGTGATGAGATCTTGCCAGGGCCGGCGCCTTCCATCCCGCACTGGAAGTCATCAGTCTGACATTTACGGTATGCTGCAACAGATAGAGGGTACCATAAGTAATTTCGCGGCCCTTCATTGCCCGAAGCAAAATATATTAAATGTAAATCTAACTTTTTAGTCGTTATGTGATTTCGTACTAAATACGCGTTAGAGTCCATTACCACGAATCTAACATATTAAATTAACAAAAAATCGTGGGTTATTCACGTGAAAATACTGAGAAAAAAACTCTACTAGTTTCGAGCCACAGAAGGTTCGATCAGAAAAGCTTTCTAAAAAACTAAATTATATTATGTTCTCATAAGTCGATGGCCAGTACAATACGTATGTAGGTATAATGGATAGTATAATGTACGTAAACTTGTGTTAAAATTAGGCTAGGTTATAGTACTGATTATTTCATAATAATGATTGTTGACCCGGAATAGTCCGTCTACTGGCCAAACCGCGTGTCTTGCCGGTGGCGCTGTATAGTATAATAAACGTCATAACATCACAATATCTGTGTAAACTTGTTTGTCACGGCAGCGGCATTGTTGCTTACGCAATGTTTGCTCAGCTCACACCTCGGCACGCCGACACCTAATCTAATCCTCTCCGCATCGGTAATGAGATGCAAAAGCGCCAGTGTGCGACTTTTTACGACAAAACTGTTACAAAGATTAAAACATACAGACAAACAACAGAAGAACCACTTCGTTAGAGGTACACCATGTAGATTGTAGACCATTATATACCTGCGTAATTAAATAACAAAAACAATTGTTTCAAACTGAAGAAGTGCGATTTAAGGAACCTGAAAAATAGTGTATGACGTCACGTTTTAAGAGATTTGGTATGTCTTTAGGCCTTTAGCATACAGACGGAACTTCTACTTTGTGTGTGTATGTGTGTTTGTTCTTAGCCCGCCTTGTCAAGATAATGTAATTTTCATATAAAGTTATGTAAAATCCAGCGATAGAGGGCGCCTCGGAGCGGAGTGGCTAGACCGTGTCAAAGCCGATACTGTTTATAAGAACATTGTGGTGAGCCTTTTTAAACTGTTTTCTAAAACAGCGTTCGTCTGGATATTGTGAGAGTGTACGTGCTCTGTGGGGTACCTTCCCCTACACTACACAGATATGTGTTTATTTTTAAAACAAGATATTCTTCTACAACTTTTGATTAGTTTCACATTGGGGACAGTTGTCGGTCAAACTTCCAGGTAGGTACTGAACCTACGTGAGCTATTATGTTTACTAGTTTCATACCTCTATCTACTATGTATTAGGAGTATACCAAACTTCCCATTTGCGGCCGACACGACAGGTCTGTTCTCTGCATCTTAATTCCCACGTACACGTTTACGATGTCTTTCAGGGCAGACCGCAATAAATATTAAGTGTCATGGCCGACAATGGGCATGTGTCCGATATTGTGCGACGGTGTTTGAGACCCGGAGACCGTGGAGCTGAGTTTAGTTGACTGCACGGTTGGCGCGGTGGCTCGGCAACCGGCTGCCGCGCAACGTGTAGCGGGTTCGATTCTCGAACGGAGCAACTCTGTGTGTGATCGACAAATTGTTGTTTCGGGTCTGAGTGTCATGTGTATGTGAGTAGTATATTATTGGGCATTCTATACCACTATCGGCAAGTCGCTCGGCGAGTGCGCCTCGCTGCCGATAGTGGTATAGAACGCCCAATAATCGATACTCGACTTGCAATGTGGAGCAATGAGGGAGACGTGTTGTTGTTACGAATAACTTTAATTGAGTGTCTTAATATCTAACTTACACTACTTACTTATAGGGCGAGGTGTCACACACACTACACCTCCCCCGTTTTTTTGAAAAAAAAAATATGCTAATAGATTTTTTTTAAACTGTTAAATATTTTTAAATAATATTATTCGCACTGTTGACAATTGTTATAATATATTTATTAAAATTCTGTTATCAATTTATCCCTCTTAAATATTTATTCTTCATTATTATCATTTAATTATTTACCTTTACCCTAAACCTCTATATCTTTTATAACTAGGTACACATAATATATTTTATTTAAAACTTTTCACTATCATCGTAAGGTACATACTAACATACACATGTAAGCACATTATATTTATACAGGACTCTCCGATACCTGTTCAATTATTTCATTATAAATCTTCTCATATCTTTATCTACTCATTATTATTTATCATTGTGCTTACTTTATTTAAGTATTTATTCATTTCATAATTTAGTGTCAATATTTAAGATTCTTATGATCTCCAATAATTTTCACAGAGAGAGCTCGTCTACACCATGATCAAACGAAGGACATGAACACTAAACTGTACCTTACCATGTGTACCTATTATATTTATTATTTACTTATTCTTAACTGTCAAACCTAACATAAACACAATCCAATTAAATAGCTTGGTCGACAAAATTTTACGTTGTCCTTAGGTGATCAGCCTTCAGTCATACGCCAAAACTTGTGTACCAAGTCATTTCGAACTACCTAAAATCCAAACTTACATACTTATACGAACAATAAACACATTCCAAAACCTAGCTAATATCAAATTTCATTCATATAATTTATTTATTTCACAAGACAAAACCAAAGTGCAGTTGTTATTGTTAATCGGTGTCAAGTAACACGATTCTTTCAATACAATCTGACACTCGGTATGACATCATTTACTTATATGGGCATGGGAACATTCCTTTAAACTGATTAATGTTAGCGAACTACGAATTTAAAAAAAAAAATCTCTAAATTACAACAAAAATTTGCAAGATTTAATTAGAAATGATTCAATACAAAAACTAATAATATTGTCAACAGGCGTGAACTATATCTAGTGTATACATACATATATTATAAATAAAATGTTTAAAATTATGTGAAATAGCTAAAATTATGTAATATACGTTGGGCCCTTATTGAAATTATGTTTATCTTACTACTACAGTTCCATATATCATATTATATTTCTTGTCCATTTTCACTTATTAACTACACTAATACAATACATTTAACACTTTAAACACTCAAGTACTTTGGAGTCCGTTTACTTCACGTACCCAGGGTAGCGGAGATTCTCTCAAACGCTACCTGGTCGCCAACATCTCCCGGCTCCATCCTCCAGGACACCAACTGCTCCCGGCAGGTCCACATCTGGCTCCATCGGCACCCAGCAGCCAGCAAAACCTCTCCTTTTTTTGCATTTTTGCTAACACTGATGCGCACTTTAGTCCACTTTTAAAATAGTCTTTTCCACAAACACTAATTATCAACATTGTACTCGTGCGCAGCGCTGCCCGCGTGGCAGCACTGGCAGGGTCGCCATGCAATGTGGAGCAATGAGGGAGACGTGTTGTTGTTACGAATAACTTTAATTGAGTGTCTTAATATCTAACTTACACTACTTACTTATAGGGCGAGGTGTCACACACACTACAGACTCGACTCTCTACTCGACCGACGATCGTTCGAGTTATTCTCACTTTGGATAGTAGTATATTATGATTAGGCATTCTGGATCACTTTTCGCTCGGCGAAACAAGTTCGCCATCGCGGTGGTCCAGAATGCCCAATCGTCAACGGTCGACTCGAACAATGATATAAACGCGAAAGAGCACCTACTAATGAAACGGTCAACTCGGTTTTAGCTAGAGGTATGCGATGCATTTTTGTCATCGATCGGAATGTTATGTATCTCGACTTTTTTCTAACACAATTTACAATCGCTTACAACGCGATGATAGTATAGAACGCAAAGTGTTCAAAAAGGTAAACGATGTTTATCGCTACCTATTTATATCGTAAAACGTACGATCTATTGTTGAACCGTGTTCTTACTCGACAGTGACATAGAATGTGTATGACTATTTATCGTCATAAATACAACTTTGCGATATTTAATTGAGTCTGTATCAGAGGTGTGATATGAAGTATGTGTAGTAATGTGTACCTAGTAATGTGTAGTAGGGAAATAAAAAACATCAATTGAAATAAAACCATATTATTTATTTATCATAAAACATGGGTTTGTTGGGGAACAAAACATCTGCAGAACGGACAAACTCCTGCAGTTTCTGCCACTGAGGAGAGTCTAAGTCGGCCTGGAGTTTGATACGTACGATTGCCTTCTTCCACAGCTCCAGCGAGTCGGTGTTGCGCGCGTCGTTAGCTCGGTACACCTTGCAGTCGATGTAGTACTCGCCATGGGTGCTCGCTATTCGTCGCTCGCACCCGTTAGCCACTCGGTACACGAACAGCGACGACAGGCATGCTCGATCTGTTGATCCCTCTCCGACTTCCGCGCCTGTCTCGTGATCCTGGCTGATACCGAATATATCGCTATCACTCGTAGTTTTTTTACTGAAAAAACAAAACAAACTTTTGTTAATTTACTAATTACAAACCTGAAAATATAGACTAGAATTATTATTGGTATTCATTAGACTTATCGCTTAAATAATAATTCGTTAAGAAATACCTACATAATGCTGTTCTAATTTTGTAAGTAGTAAAAGTAGCGATAACCATCATTAATCTCATGAGACAAACATAATGAAACATGTAAAACAATATGCAATTTACCTGGGACGGGTTGATTTTGATGTGCGTTTTCTATTGTTTTCTGTAGCCTTACGACCAGTTTTCGATTTCGGTTCAATAGTTGGTGGTGTTTGATAGTATGAACCCTCAGAATCGGACCTGAAACAAGATGTTGGTACAACCGTTAATATAAAATAAATTAATAAGTACGCCGGCCGTGGTGCTGGAGATTACAGTCAAACGAGGTTTTGAATATTATATACTTACATTTTTTCCTTGATTTGTTTTAACTTACTCAACTTCAAGTCGATAGCAGAGGTAGCAGGCACGATGATTTTCTTTAACTGCTGTTAGCGACGGCGGTTGACGACACTACTGTACTGACTGAGTACAACCATTAACCGATCGCGGATCACGAGTGCGACTGAAGCCCGGAGTCGCAAGTTACTATTACTTAGTTCACTTGGAAGAATTGTAATGATCATAATGAATA